TCATTTTTTTCTTTTCTGTATAAAGTTCAGGTAAAAGTTACAATTATCAAAAACTATTTCATTTTTTTTCCGCCTTTCATTTCCTTCACCATCACTACTCATTATCTAATACTATCATTGAGTACTTAAAAATATTCATGCGCTCTGCAGTAGTCTCTATACTTCATGAAATTCAGCTTCATATTTTCAGTTTGTAATGCAATTATTTTCAGGATTACGGGGAATGATGGAATGATGCATAAGCTTAATACAGCGGTTAATGTGAATTTGCCGGAATAAGTCATATATATATATATTGCATCTCAAATGTTGTATGTGCGGTTCTTTAATTTCTAATTAAAGAAAATGCAATTAAGAACAAAGAAACAAAGGAAAAAAGCGAAAGAGAGCAATGTATGAGTCAATGATGCGGGTAGTCTATCATTGAAACTGGCTGGAAATTAATTTCCCATACATAAACTTACACATACAAGCGCACGCACATACGTCTTGTTTGCATTCCGTTCGTTCATTGCTAGAATGTGGCGGTCATTAGCATCATCCGAGACGAAACAATTACTGTTGTTCCGGAAAATACGAGCTGGTCGATTTCTAACTATACGATTTATTGAGATTACAACTCTATGTTACCTTCTGCAAAGGGTACAAATAAAAATGATAATGGCGGTGGTGATGGCGATAGTGGAGCGGAATCACCCAGAAAACCAATCGACTTTTACTATAGGTCAATTTTTTCGTGTTACAATCTTATTTTGTCTTTTGACTCTCAGTAGTTATAGTTCTCAAGAGAGATGGAGAGAGAGAGAGAGAGCAGAAATAGGAAGAATGATAAAATTTGATTAATTAATAGTAATAGGATTGAAACTATTATTCCTTTTTTAAATATGTTAATTTTGCAGCAGAAAAATTATTATCATTGCCGAAGAAAAATAAATTTCTTTGCATATATTTTCTTAAGTATTCAAATATTCTTTTATTATTCAAATATATTTTAAATATTCAAATTCAATAAACATCACATTATAAACATATAAAAGGCGAAGAAAGAATTCAATTAATCAGTTTATGATTGTTTTAACTCCGATACTACGGACTATAACGATGAACGGTAAGAGTGACGACTCTCTATTGAGGAAAGGAAGATAAATGGGATTTTGGGTATTTCGGGGATTGCTTAAATTGAGGGTTATCGGGAATTGGTTGGATTGGGGATTATGGCTATATCGCGGCTTGGTTGGAATGAGGATTATGGCAATAATAATTCAATAATATTCCTTAATATTTGAGGCGGCAATTGCAAGCTTAACAAAAGGCGTTGTTCGATATGCCGCGGTACTGGGACAAAATTTGATTACTAATAGTAGCAGCAGTACTTGAAGACGGAAATGAATACGGAAGCAATGAAATCGGAATTATTTCCTGATGTAATTAATATGATAAATGATAATACTGGATGTGTTGTACAAAAAATAAAATTGAATCGAAAGTAGCA